TGCGAGTTGGCCGAAGTGGTGTTTCCCCAGGGTAAGCATGAGCATATACTTGCCCGGGGCTTATTCAGACAAATCGGTGATTGCTGCGGAAGCGAGCGAAAGGGTAGCTCACTGCCGCTACCACTACCGCCATCACCACCACCTCCAGCACCCTCACTAACACCAGTATCATCAGCCGCCCCCATTGCCATCAGCACACCACGCCGAGGTACCCCGCGCGCCACAAACACATTGCGCTTGCCATCGGCGCAACGATAGAACGAGATATACCGAAATCCGCTGTGCTTGCGAACAAAGAGAGAGAGAGAGAGAGAGAGAGAGGAGAGAGGAGGAGAGAGAGAGAGAGAGAGAGAGAGAGAGAGAGAGAGAGAGAGAGAGAGAGAGAGAGAGAGAGAGAGAGAGAGAGAGAGAGAGAGAGAGAGAGAGAGTAAAAGACGGAGAATGTGCAGTCAGACTGAAGAAGAGCCAGGGAGAGAGAAGAATGATTGTTTCCATGATTACAATGGAGAAAGGAAGAGATGGTTGAGCGGAGGAGGAGGGGGGCGGCGGTCGGCGGGTAAAGGGGTATGGGGAGCAATCTCTTAGCGCTAACGTAGATTCGTGAGACGGGATCTCTCGAAATATTACACTGGAGGGGTACCGACCGCCGACGTCGACGTGGACGTGCCCACCGGGGGATTTCGTATCTGCTTGAGTACTGTGTGTATGTGTGTCAGCCATCGAGCCCGTCCGAGGAAGTGTTTTCCCGGGGAAAATACTTTGCGCCTCGTTTGGTTGGCCGGGAGACGTGAGAAGGAGACCTCATAGCCGTCGGTTCCGGACGATTCACAGAGGTAGATTTATATCCCAACGACGGAGGAACGTAAGCCTTAGATTCAAGGTGCTAATGCTCTTACAAAGAGCTAGTGGTGGAAATGGCGGTCGAGCGGTTCCGTCCGGGTAAGTATAGAACTCGTTTTTAATTTATCAGCCGAGAGAGGAAGTCTTTCTCTACGTCTCTTCCTGTTGCAATGAGCGCTTCTTGTTGTAACGAGACCGTGGAAAATCCGAGGATAAAAGCGTACGGGAGACGAAGGTTGCGCAAGTACGGAACGAACGTACATACGAATAACTAGAGAAATAGTATTTCAGTTATTAAATTAAGGCACACAATGAAACTGCACACTCGGGAGAAGTAACTCTCGAACTGCGACGAAAAGAAGAAATCGTGTACAGCGATTGACGTGTAGCGTTCTATCTGGACGATCAGCTATCCCACTCAAAGGACTCAAGCCGATTACGCACCGAATATCCTGTTAATCTCATTAAATTCAGTTCTGCGCGCAATCACTCCGCATGATCTACTACGAGAGTGATTCGATCAAGCAATTAGATACTTGATAATTGTTGTAGATACGATTTATTTAGCACGCTTCAATCATTATACGAGATATATATTTCATAATGTTATAAAATTATACTTTTGATAACAAACTAATTTTGTATTCCTGAGCGATGCATAGATATAAAGATAATTGATAGTTCAATGTTAATCTTCACTAATCGATATTCATGTAAACATGATTCATGCGATGTAATACCGTTATATAAATGTACCATTATTGGGTACCTAAATAAATATATAATATATTTTTAGTAGTAGGCTTTCACTTGAATCGTCCATTACTAAGCTTAAATCCTTCGTGTAATATCGCCCACTATTTTTAATATTTCAAAGTAATAAATTTAATATTTTAAATATTTAAATATTTAACCTATTTATTATTTACACATTTAATTGAAGAGCACTTTTAACATTGAAGTGCTTTATACAGAGAAAGGAGATTTGTACCTCTAATAGTCTAATTAATATCAAAGTCTCTTTGATGCGAAGGATTATCACCAAGCTTATTAAGCATCATAACGAAAGCTGTCTTGACACGATTGCAGTCTACCACATTTATCTTCTGAACGTTGATCGAATATATAATGCAATTACTAGTAATTAAATTTAAAAAATGGAATATTAAAAAAACAAAAAATACCTATAAAAAATATCCAGAAATCCTTACAATCCCGTTAAAGAAATTTCAAATATTGACTGACTGTAAATTGTTGACGCATCACGTATTCAATTTTATATATAAACAGATTCGATACATAAAATTCACCCGTTTCAAATGGAACATCAAGCAACCACAAGAAAATAATCCGACCAAAAGAAACGAAAGCGATTAAATTATGCTCTCTTTATTATTCACAAAGGAGTTAAAAAGAAAACAAGTATCTTTCTAAACGTGCAGTGAAATAGAGATCTCAGATTTATATTTCATTAATTATCCTTTCGAATTATACGTGTCTATTATGCATATCCGTCGGTTCCCAGGATCGTGACCACGCAAAATACCGAACTAAGTTGCCGTTTGAGTTCTCGGGAGCTTTTTATACGATAAGCATGCCTTTTCCGCAAAGAGAGAGGGACAGTATTATTCCGGAATAGAACGAATCGAACGAATCGTTATCTTCTCCGTAGGGATAATGACCCCACAGTCGGCGTCGATAGTGCCTCCTCTCTCCTTTCATACAGAACAAACTGTTATTCCTTCGTGACAATGTACTTAAAGCGCCGTCGATTGTACCTCGATAAAGAAAGGATTCAAACGGCGACTTCCGTCATCTTTTAGTTTTCTCTCGTTCAACCCCTTTCCGTTTCCTCGATAGCTAAAGGCATTTCGTTTTTCGCGTAAATGCTCGCTTTAAAACGGAAACTCGATTTATATTGAGCTACTTATACATCGATTCGATTAAGCTATAACCGCACACGGGCTCGCCGCTTTCCCATTACCCCATGATCACAAATAGCATTGCTATACAAAGAGAAACTTCTTTTCTTACAAAGAAGCGTGATCAATAGATTTTTTTTTTTTAGAAAAAAACTTGTTATATCATTTTCCCTTTACTTTCTATTTTAGATGTCATTTTACAGAAAACCAATTTAACTTTCAAATTAATTTTATCTCTAATCCCTTGTGTGCTAGCTCCTAGATATTCCGGCCATACTTTCACATTTTCACAAAAAAAGAAGAACTTTATAAATCTAAAATTCAGTTCATTTATGTACTATTCATTATATGATAATTTTGTATTTTTAAAAATAAGAATGTAAATTTCACGTTAGGCCATTAATTAGCTTAATCATGAAAATTGACATGTATATAATTCATTACTTATTTACAGCAATTAAAGCAATTATAATTCATTACTTATTTATTTTATCCAAAATTCCAGATATTTTTTAAGTGAAAATTTAAAATAAACTTTCTCTAAAAAAATTTTCAAAATTTATTTTACAGAAAATTCGTAAGCTTTAGGAGCAAAATTTCATTATTATCCTCTTTATTAATATACATTTGTTTCTGGAGCATAGCTCATACGATATCAATTTTGTATTAACGCGTGTCAGGTAAATGCAATGTGTGTGACCTCAAGGCCAATTAACCCTGTTTTCGCAGCGATCAACCCCTTCGTCTGAGCTCACCGTTGAGGTTGCGGCCAAGTACACGCGTGTCGCACAGGTGTATGAGCGACACACCAAACCAGGTTGTGCCCCAGAGCGGCATGTAACTGGCCGCGCGCGTATGGCCAGAGGTGGTTATATGGGTCGCACAACAGTCACTTGAGATTAATTACCAAGTGCATCGTTAGAGATAACGCAGCGAAGGCTGGTGGCGGTTAAGTGAAGCGATGGTACCTAGATATGACGTTAAATTGAACCTTTCGTCGTCGCTGATTCCTGCAATGCCGCCGCCAACCGCACCGGCCCGACCCAATCCGGGGTGCAAGCCGGTACAATATGCGTACTTGCCTAAAAGCAATTACTGCCAACGTGCACATACACCCATACATGTATACATGTATATATATATATATATATATATATATATATACGTGCATACACATACACATACGTGTACACTTGACGATAGCGCGCGATATAATATTGTTCGGAGAGCATCTCGTTCATATTGGCTTCGTCAAACCCGTAGCGAGACACGAGCGAAAGACGATATCTGATGTTAATCTCTGCGCGGGGTTTGCCGAATATCATTATGGATTATGCACCGAACTATCCACAATTGATAGACTGGATCAATTCTTAGGAAAAAAATATGAAATAAATATATCAGCGAGTGACGACTGAATTTATTTATACGTTATGCTCTCGGGAACTCTCAGACGTGTTTAAAATATGTAAAATTCAATAATACATTAATACATAGTTGGCTAGAAGAAATGATTGTCTATTCGTGACTTTATTTGACGTATTCCAGTATTTTTCTTTCATTTCTAACGAGGATAATCTTTGAGCAGTTGTAGCATTTAACGATATTCCTTAAGCGGATATTCTCCTGCTGCATCTACTCCACTAACCTTTAGAAAATAAAACAGACGTTCGTGCAGTTCCATTAAAGTCGCGTAAAAATAACATTCCGAGACGGGGAGTATAACTTAAGCGACGTAAAACGCCTTCTCCAATAGTGATCGTTCTTCTGTTACTTTCTATAGCACGAAAATTAGTTTCAAGTATCGCAGAAAATTTATGTCAGTTGATACTTGTCAATCTTTTTCAATGAAAAATCGTTACGTATTTATTCGTATCATTACATGTTCTGCTATTAAAGAAAAAAAAGCCGATACTCATCAAATTGTATTTGTCGTTAAACGATGACGTGTGAAGTGACAAAACATTTTATATATTTATTCCGATATTCACGCGTCGTCGTAGGAAGATAATTTATGAAAATATTGTTGGAAAAATTTCTTAAATTTTCAATAAAATTTTAATTTACGTAAAAGGAACTTGCCATTCATGTCGCATGTGTCCGCGCTCACTGCAGAAGCAACTTCGGTTAATTCCCCCCCTCGTGATTTCGTCAAGGAAAAATTCGTCAAGGGAGATGTCAACCCTTTATCGCTTTTAACGATAGAAAATAACGAATGTCGTTGTTGCTGCTTCGCAGGTGGGATGGCTACGTGCTGAGGATCAGACGATACTGTCGATGGGTGATCGCAAGGTCATCCAATCGACCCGATTCTTCGTCACCCTGGAGAACGCCAAGACGAAGAATCAGACGCAGTCGCGGGAGGACGAGGAGGCCACTTGGCAGCTGCACATTCGAGGGCTGAAGGAGGCCGATCGTGGCTGCTACATGTGCCAACTCAACACCAAGCCCATGTTGAGCCAGCTGGGATGCGTGGACGTCCTAGGTATGCCTAATTGCACGCGTTACGCCGCATTCCGGCCGACCGGTCAGGTTTGCGGCTGTTGGCAGAGACGTCACGTACGCACGCACGCACGCACGCACGCACGCACCGCGTTTCGATTAGGCCGGGCCGGCTTTAGGGCCGGAAAATAATGCGTGCCTCGCCGTTGCAGCGGCGCGTTTGAATAGGCCGCTGCGCACATATGCATATCGTGCAACACGGAGATCTCTCTCGTTATGCGTGTTCATGCAGGATGACGATGACGCGGACACAATGCGCGTGGCGCAACTATGATATCACATCCTCGGTAACTCATAGCTGAAAGAAGATTCTCCAGACTGACGTTAATCGACCTCGTAAAAAATGCTGAGAAATTCCCGGCCTCTAAATATTAGATTCTTTAATTCCATTAAGGGGGATCCGTTAAACGATTCGGTATGTGCCCGTCGTGCGCGAGTTATTCGGGCCAGCTTAATTTGTAACACGTGTTCCCTTCGGAAGAGGGGAACGTAATATCGATTCGGGAGTTAGTTTACAAGGAGCATTATCGGTCATATAAGAAACGCTAACGGCTGCGCTTTAATTTATAGTTTAATTAAACGCGATAACGAAGTTTCGAAAGTCTACCTGGCAGAGAGTCTACCGGTGTTCGCTGACTGTCTCAGCTGATGGATGCTCATACTTTGTGGCCTGGTACGTCGGCAAACGTTGAACTAAACTGTTTCCATCAAATTTACATTATCTTCTTTTAACGTTAATTATATCGGCGCAACTTTAATATTTTGCTTTGCTCGGCTTATGCATCGGTAATATCCTAGATATCCCCGCACGTTGCCCCTCTCGCACGTTGAATACTTCAATTTCGGGCCGCGTGATGCGCGCGGCACGTTCGTTACGCTCCGTTACGGCGTCGTGAAACACACAATTTCACTTTTATATCGTGCCGTAACGTGGAGGTAGCTCGGCAAAATATCATCTACTTTGTGCGTGAGGCGGAATGAGGGAGACGGGCCAAAGGATGAGCCCGGGAATGCGTTCCATCGCGCGCGTGCATGCGTACGCGTCTGCTTGCCGTCGGACACCAAAAAGCGGTCTCTCGAATGGAATGAAATTCCTTTGCGTAGAAACAAGAAAAAATGCCATCCCCCGTTTCTTTTTTTTCTCATCGCCCGGTACGCGGTGTATGTGTGTTATACCGCGACATACTTGTTCGGCTTTGGATCATTGTAATTGAAACGAATCGAACGGCCCTTCGAATTGGATAGAATTCCATTAGAAGAGCATTCCCCGCGGAGGGAACGTCCCACCGATATTTCATTTCCGTCGAGTGTGACGGGAATGATTTCGAGATGACTTTTCGGTCGTCTTCGCCAACGTCCCCGGTTAAATCGGGTTAGAACGATGGCAATACCGATTCTTTATGGCCCACGTACCCGCCAGTCTTCGTCGGCGAAGTTTCGTTCCAGCCAGACGGAAGGGGAGACGTCGAAGAGACTTGTATGAAGACATATTGTTTCGCGTGGCACGCGATTTCGATCCAATTCGTAAATTGTTTCGTAAATTGTTTCGTAAGACAACGTCACGTGATATCGGACAAAATTATGTCATAATCCTCGGACACGTGTTGAATTTGTGATAGATGGACGCAAGTGCGGTATCGAAAAATTCATTGAAAGCTTTATTTCACAAAAGCTTAGGTATATACACGATATAACGATCAATGTACTTTAGATTTACGTATATACACAATGCAGTTTAGAAAACGCGCTTGTTATTCTACTGCTTTACTATTCTTTTGTTATCGAGCTTTATACGCTCCCAGCGTCCGGTCCGATACAACAAAAAAATAAAATAAAATGAATTGCCATATAAAATATTAATTTAACAGAGTTTACGATTGCTTTTCAACCGAAATTAAAATGTATACAATACAATTATTTCTCCTTATTGCAATTTTACGGGACAATTGCAACTGTATAGTTTATTCCAAAAAAAAAAAAAAACGCACGAGTAACGGGAGATTAATTCCATAAGAGACATACATAAGGAATTATGTCGGTGGAAATGTTTTCGTTCTCGAGAGTCATAAATTTTTGACGTGTTCTTTGTGGTCTTGTAACTCACTATGATATATGTTGTTTTGTGGATTAGATAGTATAATTTTTCGTGAAATAATTCTTCCTTACGGGTTGATGTTTTTTTTGTACGGCATATTTCACTACATCTTATTTTATCTTAACTTTCTCTTAACATATTTTCATGGAAACAACACTCATATTTTCCAATCTTATTTGGCGGCCAATCTCTCTGTTGAATTTGAAAATATGAACGTATCATTATTACGCGTTATTTTGAGATGAAACAGATTTTAATAAAAAATCAGATAATTTAATTACGAACATATATTTTATAAAAAAATATTTCAAATATTATCTTAAATCTCTCTCATATTGTTCTCGTACATACTATATGAGCAGTGAATAATGACAATGATGTAATAATAAAAGTATTCTCGCACAATTTTTTAATGTGATGTGTGTATTGATATATATATATATATATATATTTCACTTGACGAAATATTATCCAATCTCTTTCTTCCAGTGCCGCCCGATATTTTGAGTTCCGGCACCTCGGATGGCGAGGTTTCCGTTCTCGAGGGTGAGAATGCCACGTTGTCGTGCAAGGCGTCCGGACGGCCGCCGCCTCGCGTGTTCTGGCGACGTGAGAAAAGTGATCACATACTCGTGAGGGGTGTTCACGATCCGTTGATACAAAGTAAGATATTAATTCCGAAACCCGAGATTGTCACTCTCGGCGATCTCTGTAACCATCGTCTCTTTATGCCTTGCCACGTGAAACGTACGTTTGTCTCACGAGCGAACGAAACCGCAACACGAATGAATAATTCCCGTCACTATTTACGTCGTGTAACACTATTCTGGATTTAATTGCGTATTTACTGTGAGTTTATCATTTAGCGATAGAAGAAAATTTTCTTCCAAAATGAAAACGAATTTCTTCTTTTTATTAGAGAAGTCAATTCATAAATCAAACGTCGCAAAGCTTTGAAAGTTATAATAAATAACTTTTCTCCTTAAGATGTTACAAATAGTTATAGAAATTCTTGGAAAACTTCAACATTTCATAAATATTCTCGCAAATATTTCATATACTTTTTTACATCATTAGCATAATCCCAGTAATCCAATGTGTCTCAATCAAATAGTCGAACATTTTAAGGGGATATGAAGATATCGTAAATTCGCACACGTAGGTGATCCCGATCGAAAGCAATTACGATGGAACACGTTCCATCGAATAGAGATTAGTTTGTCCGCAATGACTTTCAATATCCTTCGGGCACGTTGAGTTCCGCTGCATTTCGCAAGACACCTGCACTCCAGGAATTTTGTGCAGTCGCGGTGGATCGCGTGGCGCGAATAGATCGACCGGTTGAAAGAAATACTTGCAACATCATGCGAATGCCAGTGACTCACGCGGAATTAAACGAGAGTGCTTGTAGAACCATTGACGTTCAATTGAAATGATTGACATCGTACGAGAGAGACAAATTTTAGCAATCAATCGATTTCCAATATCGCTCGATACATCCCGAAGAGAGTGCAACGCATAATATATATTTTTACAGTATCTTTCAATGAAAAGCTTTTATATAGACTCATTGTATATTTCATTTATCAGTTATGATTTTCAAAGCTTTGTGACATTGTTTGATTTTTTATAGAAAAGAGACTTTAATATCAGTCTTCAATTCTTTTCTTCAATGCACGTTATGCCAACGTACATTTAATGTACTTTATAATAAAAAAAAAAAAAATGTGCAAAAACATAGTGCACAGTGTTATAACATCGTGCACGTTATTATTAATTGTTTTTAATATCTTTAATTAGTAAATTAATATAATGAAAATTACTGCATTTTCTTAGGTAATCTGTTTTTTCCAAAACGTCACGTTATTCAATTAACATAATTAATAAAAATCTAGTGCACGATAATTAAATTCTGAAATAAAAAAAGATATATTCCCGTTCTCGATAATCGAACATGCGACAATTATTAATTTAATACAAGTGAGTGCAGTGCTATACGAATTCGTCAGCTGTCAGAACAAATCACGTATCTTGTATTTTTGATCAATCTTATTAAACTTCTGACACATTTTATCACGAACATGGAACGACACATTCCACATGTGATTTATGTCGGCCGTTCGTTCGATAATAATATGATTCATTATCTTTCAGTTATTTGAAAAGCGTCTACTGCATGTGCACGTTAATGCAATTCCTCATTGGATAATGGAAATTGTAAATATGTAGTAGAAATATGGATTTTCAAAATTCCGTTATGAGTTCTCATTTTTAATGATAAACGGTTTTTACGGATTAAACGGTATTTCTGTTAAAATAGGACGCGAACAAATGCAATCTGATATCATAAAAATCCTAATTAACTAAATTAATTTATCGTTGTCATCTATAAACTATAATCCCTAATAATATTTCTACGCATTTCATACGGCCATCAATCATCATTTTCATCAATCACGTTAAGATACAAACATTAAAATAAATTTTATTGATACAACGATAATAAATTTAAGAACTTTTGAATTTAGGTCTTTACGTTTGATTAAAACGTAAAGCAAGGATTAATAATTAATCTTGGAGTACGTAAACTCACGTATCTCTTGATGCCAAGGCAGAAATATTAATGTAAACTGTACCACCAATGGCAATAAATTCCGGCGACAAACTTTGCTACAAATTCATATTCTGCTTATCGTTGCGTGCCCCAAAGGCGTATTTCGCGAATAATTACTCAGGCCGCGTTAACACGTCGGCTTATATGGTCGGCAAGGGAGCAGCTTTCAACGAGATATTCATACAACATACGATTTTCTAGTGGACAACCTGTCTGGCGAGAAACTAGAATTAACCAGGGTAGACAGGAGGCAAATGGGGGCTTATCTTTGCATAGCGAGAAACGAAGTGCCTCCGGCGGTCAGCAAGAGGGTTAATCTAAAAGTAAATTGTGAGTACTCGAAAACGATTTATAATTTTATACTCGATATTGAAATCGATATTGAAATCAATTGTTGTAGACGAGTTTTTCACATTATATCTACTTTAATAATTATTCTTGTGACATAAAATTTATGCCCATCACATGAGAGATAAAATTGTTTAAAAAAATACATTATTTACATTAGCAAAAAAATTCAGAAATTAAACAGGAATAATTATACAAACGTTAAAATCAGCTATCACTCTCTCATTTCTTTTCCAGTTCCTCCTAGTGTAAAAGCACCTAATCAGTTGCTCAGTTCTCCTCTGGATACAAACGTGTCGCTAATCTGCTTAATCGAGGCTTATCCCAAGACGATTAACTTGTGGATGCGAAAGGAGCAAGTCATCATGAGCGGGTATGTGCCAAGACAATATTGACAGTTTGGTCTACTGATCCCCGGGCACAGTTCGAATCCGTTGTTCGACAATCTCCACAGTGATAAGGGACAAAACGTATTGCTTTTTGCTAAATCGCTCCTGACCTCGGTCACCGCGATTTCGGATATCGATTCCAGTGGCAATCCGGTTATTCTAACGAGATGTCGAATAACGGAATCTATCCTCCCTATCGCGGACGTTAAATGTAAGTGATATGTCAATGCAGAAGCAGATACGAAATCGACGAGCGAGGGGACCCCGATGAGGAATGGAAGACGACGATCGTGTTGAAGATAAGACGCTTGGAGAAAACGGATTTGGGTGAATACACGTGCTCAGCCTCCTCAAGCATGGGAAAAGCCGAGGCAACTCTCAGGGTGTACGGTAAGTAATCACATTCATAAAACCAAATAAACATCAAATAACATCTTTCTTTATTCTTCTTACTATCAAACGAGAACCGTGATCCAATTACAGTTATGCTCGATGGAAATTTTATATAATATAATTGGTATCGCGCATAGCGTTAACTTTTTGACAACCTAACAATATAAAAATAAAACGCGATTTCGTGCACGATTGAAAATAATATTCCAATTCTTTATTCTTTTCAATTGTAAGAAAAATAATTAAATTATTATTAATATCCAGATTTATGATAAATAAAATTTGAATTGATCGTCACTGATGGATAAAAAAAGCCAGATTAAAAAAAAAAATTTAAAGAAAAAGTAGTGGTCCAAAAAGCGAAGCGTCTAGTTCACCCTGTATCCATAATTCGTGTGGATGCTTTTTCAGAGATCGAGCGCGTAACCATGCCCAACCGCGTCACCTCGACCAACTGGAAGCGACCGAACCGAGGCAAGTCAAAGCCCGGGCAAGGGACGATGGTCAATCGAATTTTTTATCAGCAGGTGAGCACGCCGGCGATGCAGAAGAGCACCGCGCGATTGATTCACAACAACAGATACGCGACCACGTCGACCACCGCGGATCCGCGCGCTCCCTTAATCAAGGAGCAGGGTAACGCCTTCAAGCACAACAATCGCAACGACCAGAATCTCAAGGATCGCAGCGACGCATCTGCGATCATCGCCAGCAAGCGGGTCGTCCTGCCGCTCTGTCTCGTATTGTTCTCGACAGTGCGATAAGAAGTGACGAGAACGACGAACGACGGCAGCTATTCCCTCGCCAAAGGAATTACTCTGCAAACCAGCCATGGAATTGTGCTCATCGATCCGACAAACAGCGAGGATAAGCGAGAGGAAATTGACGAAGTCTCACAAGCGAAAATTGCAGGGAGAGGGAGAGGGGGAGGGTAATTCTCAGACAACGACAATGAGAAGACAAAGGGTTGATGAAAGAAAACTGTTCCGATTAATTAGTCAGCTCGACGTTCTTAGTAGCGCGAGAAAAGATCGAAAGAAAAGCGAAAACTTGAACACTTTTTACAGGGTAAGATCGTAGGAAAGCGAACGCTTGGATGCGTGGCAGAGTGGAAACAGG